AAAACTTTTTATTATCGAACTTAAGAAACTTTCAGAAATTTTATACTTTTTTAGGGTGGAAAAGTAACGTACCAGTAATTCAAAAATGGAATCAAACATTTTTCTTGGATATTTTTACATGGTTCGATAGAGCTCATCGAGCTCTACAAAACTGCATATTTCAAAAATATTTTGAGCCATCTTTTTAAGATAAAAAATTCAAAAACTCCTTATAAAAATCTAAAAAAATGTTAAAAAAGCGCATATTTTTCAAATGGAAGAAAAACACTCGATTTTTCAATAAAATTAGCTTTCGTTCATTATTTTTTGCTGTCTCACAAGTTACGAAATTGCCCATTGAATTCAGTTTTTCATGCTGCATCGAATGAGTATATTTCGAAACGCCTGAAGGAGTAAAAATAATAAAAAAAAGAAGCTAATTTTATTGAAAAATCGAGTGTTTTTCTTCCATTTGAAAAATATGCGTTTTTTAAAACTTTTAAAGGTTTTCCAAATAGATTTTTGAAGTATTTATCACAAAAAATGACTACGAAAATTTTTAATATACACAGTTTTGTAGAGCTCGATGAGCTCTATCGAACCATGTAAAAATATTCAAGAAAAATGTTTGATTCCATTTTTGAATTACTGGTACGTTACTTTTCCACCCTAAAAAAGTATAAAATTTCTGAAAGTTTCTTAAGTTCGATAATAAAAAGTTTTCATAACCCTCACTATTTAGTGTCGATAAACCCCATTTTCGACGAACTTTCTTTTGATATAAAATTCATTATGCCTTCTATTTGGAATCATAGCGGTACACCCCTTGAATAATATTATTTTCCACCCTGTACATAATGTACATAGTCTCGACTCAAAAATGATTCATCAGTTGGAGGACTTCTCTGGTAAGGCTTACTAAACATTGCACTCATAAATATTTTAGATGATGCAAATGGTATGTTTCATCGTTCACCGTTAATATCATTTTGTGTACCTGATGTATATTGGTCGGGATCAAATGGTAAATATTCGCCACCACCCTCATCATCAAATTTACCTCCACCACCATCTGAATGGCTTCCGTAGAAAAAAAAATTCTTTATGCATTTATGATATAAATTAGTCTGATATATTTTTATTTTTCTATTGTATTACAAAAAGAATAAAAATAGACAATAGTCACATTTATATATGATCAACGATTTTTGTTTTTTCCATTTTCTTTATGTTTTTTGTCATATTCGATTATTTTCACGTTTATCTATGTTATTTACATTAATTAATGTAATACAATTATATGTGTAATGTGTGAATTTATTCGCATTTGCAAAGACATAATACATATACAAATAAATGAAAAAGAATGAACAAGAAATTATAAAAGCTATCAGTCCACAGTAACAAATATGTTTTTTTAAAGTCACCATCCCAAAAATGTTTGCTGAATAAAAGAAAAACTTCTTTTTTTGTTTTGTAGAGGTTATTTATACATTTCTTGATTACGATAAAAATAAACTTAAGAACTTGTGTTTTTTTTTTGTTATATAAAAGATTAGCATGACAAACAAGATTTCTATTATTTAGACAAAGAAAAATGCAATTTCATTCAACCTACTTTTTTCTTTTACAAACAAGATAATAATAAATATTCTAAATTTACAGAAGAGTTTTTTTTTTTCGATAAATTATTTTTAAGATTAAACTAATCTTTTATTAATTTATGCTATACCAATTGAGATAAAAATAATTTCAATTATAACTTTGTTCTAAGCAGACTCATTTAGATATGTTTATAAATAGAAGTTTCAGTACATTTGCGTAATTATATATAACTAATTGTCATTGTTTACTTATATTAATGTACGTGAATAATTTAAAATAATTTTTTTTTATTCGATAAAACAAATGATTGGTAATCATTGTCATTATTTTCCAAATTAAATTTTTCCTTAATTATTGTACATTTTAATTCTAAAATTCATGTTCTTTTTTATTTAAATTTTCACCATTTGATGATAGATACTAATTAGACATCAACTGGAGTAGTTGTGTTTTTTTTGTCTCGCCTCGCTTCAGGTTACAATAAACTTTTAGTTCCGGTTCCGGTCAAAAAAATTTTCAGTTCCGATTTCACTGCGACTCAGACCATCTTGTCCTAAAATCTTATACTGAGTTCCTCACATATGTTTTACACTATTGAATTTGAATCGAAATTATTAAGAAGTCAATGGTCTCTAGAGACAAATTGAACTATATTGACTTTTTAATAACTTAGATTTGAACTTACTGAAATTGAATATATATACATACATATAAGATGATTAGTTTTTTATTATGAAATGAAGAAAAAAATTGTTGTTGACAATTACGAGAATGAAAACATATAGTTTTATGAAGAATTGAAAGACAAATTGTTTAAGAACAGGTGAAAACAAGGTCAAACCGTTTCAAATATGCTAAGAGTACCATGTTTTGTAGACTACCATTAAGATAATTAAAATTTTTTAGAGATACTTCCGTTCTACCTATAAACTTGTCTTTTTATTATAATAATTTGTAAAACGATGACAACTATGCATATAGGACATGTACCGTTAATAAATATTTGTTTTAATTCTAACTAATGGTATCTTTCCATGTCAATAATTACAATGTATGTCATACTTTTATTCCTTATAAAACAAAAAATCATGCTTCATTATAAATTTCATGCTAGATAATCAATGATCTTCATATAAAAGAAAACAACAATTACAATAAATTCTTAATAACAATCTAAGTGTTTATTTAATTACAAAGAAATTTGATTTAATATGAATTATAAATGTTGATGGTACTCCCTTTTTTTTTGACATATTCATAAATCTTGAAAAACCAAAAAACAAAAAAGGAAATTTTGTCGTTGTTTTATTTATTAATTGTATACACGAATAAAAAAAGTCGAAAGAAAAAAGAAATGCAAGTGCTCTTTCATTCTTATCTCAAGCGTGAATAGCTACTTCTCCAGAAGTTCCACTACTATCCATTGTTTGTGTAATAGCACCAGAATTGAAGGCTGCAGCAGCTAATTTTTCTTCACGCAAAGCGCGACTTTGCAGTTTTGTAAGAATAGGATTATTTAGCGTTGAATTAAATGTACCACGAAGAACAGTATCTTGAAGAAGTGGTGATAACTAAGAAAAACAAAAGAAAATACTTAAGATAATTAAAGTATATCTTTTTTTACTTCATAATCAGCAGGACCTGGCACTTTTGAACTTTCATAACGAAAACGAGAGTCACGTACAGGTGCAATACCTCGTGGACGTTCATTAATAAATCCATCATAAGCACCTGGGCCAGGTGTATCAAGTGCTGCATCTCCAGCAAATGTACGTTTAGCTGCACTTAAAAATTGACCATGCCGTCTACGAGCATTTTTAGAACGTGGTGGCTGTCGATGTTGAGATGTGAGTGCTTGATAGGCACGTGACACATCATAAGCTGTTGGACCTGGAATATCCTTTTCAAAAAAAAAAAAAATAAGAAAATTAATACCAATTCAAAAAAGACTCAAGATTTAATAAATTTAATTTACTTCAACAACAGCTTCTCGTATTGTACTTGAAACAAAATTAGCTGTGGGATGTTCAGGTTTTGATTTAAATGGTTTAGGTTTAATATCATAACTACTTGGACCTATGTAGAGAAAAACAAATATCGGAAATCATTAATTTATAATAAAGAAAAGAAAAGAAAAGAAATTCTTTATTTACCAGGCGTATTGTATTCATCTTTACGGGTCATATTTAATCTTCTCACAGAAGCTATATTGAATGGTGGTTTTTTACCACCTTCAACAACTGCTTTTCTTAAATTTTCATCAGCAAAACCAGGTATACGATATTGACCAGGACCTGGAGCACTTCTTGCTTTATAATCAAGACCAACAAATCTTGCTGATGTTTGATTAAATGGATTTCGTTTAAGACTTGTTGGTTTTGATTGAATAGCATTAAATGCTGTCATGACTTTATCATTATATGCTGTTGGACCAGGTGCTAGCGATTTGATAGCATTAAATCGCTAAGAAAAACAAAACAAAAAATTAAATTTTTATTCAAAAGTTATATTAAGAAAGTTTACTTCAGTTTGTGAACCAAATCCTGGTCGTTCAAATTCAAGTCCAATTACATCACTTTTTGGTGGTTCTGGATCAAGTTCACGTTTTATTGAATATTGACCTGGTCCTGGAATACTCTAATAAAATAGAAAAATTATTTATTAAGACTTCTTTTTTTTTTTCTTATTGAAAATTACTTCTTTAGTAGCTGTTTTAAGTAAGTTATCAGGATATCTTGCAACTTGTAATTCAGGTCTTTTATCCCATGTTTTCATATTAATATGATGAATTTCAAGTTTAATTGGATCATTTGGATCATATTCACCTGGACCAGGACCTGTTTTACCAGAAAAATCTGTACGTTTACCAGAATATTTTCCAAAATGAACACCATGATATAATTTTGATGCATCTATTTCAACCTATTCAAAGTAAGAAAGTTTTTACTATTATTATGATTAGTCTTTTTTTTTTAAATTGAAATCTAACGAACAGCAGCTGGTGGATTATAAAAAGCTGGACCTATAGAAGCATCTCTTGTTGGTGGTTGTTGTGGCACAAGTGTACCGCCAGCATCTTCTTCGAAACCATAAGCGAATTTAGGATCAGGAATAGATGGTGGAAGAGATTTACGATTATATTTAAATGCATTAGGACGTGGATACTATATTTAAAAAACGAACAAAACAATCAATTAATAGAGAATTCAATTCTGGATAAAAAACTTGCTTTGACAATATCAGTCACAGTTGAACGAGCTGATTGAGTTTTGCGTAATTCATATGTACCAGGTCCTACAATATCATAATCATATCTTCTCTTGACAATATTAGTATATATATATTTGTTTATCATACCTGGTGTTTCTTCAGATAGTTTTTGATCAAAACGACTTGCTCTATTAGCTAATGTACTTCCTCCCTATTTAGATAAACAATATGTATTAAATGATAAGTTATCATTATAAAAATATATCATTATAGAAGTTAGAAGAAGAAGTAGCTGAATCATAATGATTTTTTTATTACCATCTTACATAATTCTTTAATATACGGTCTGGATTCAAGATAGGAAAAACAAAACAAAAAATAAAATTATCAAAAATGTATATTAAAATTTTATATTAAACAACGAATTTCATCAGTATTTAGTCTTAAACAAACTTTACTATGTACATCTCTAATGATTTGATAACATTATTATTTTCTAACTTATAAATATTTGTTAGAATAATTATAAAAATATTTGCTCGAATTATTATTAGTACATAGTTTGATTTCAAGAAATAATTATATTGTTGACAGTATGCGCATTCATGCATCTATGGTAGAAATGCGCGTCACCATAAATGAACCATAAAATTTATTCGCACGTTTTATAATATATAAAAGTGAATATATTTAAATCTCATGCAAACAAATATAGTTAAAAGCATTAAGAGAAATCCTGTGCGGATGTATCGTTCAATAAACTTTTACTTTAATATATTTTTATCTAATAATAATTTATCTGTCATCGTTTTTCTTTTATAGAACATGTCAGAACAAACATATCATTTTTTTTTTTCTTTCTATCTCTCTATTTCTATTTTCTCTATTTCGCACAAAACATAGAATTCTTCAGAACAACTCATATTCATTTTCTGTTCACATATCTTTCATATACGAGTATTGTTAAAAACATTGATCTAAAGAAGAAAACAAACAAAAGTTTTGATTCAATCTTTTTTAAATAACAATGCTCAAATCAACTATTATTATTTCATTCATATTATTTATATTTTTTTCATATATTGATGGAAATCCACATAATATACATGAAAATTCACCGTCGTCAACGACAATATTTATTAAACCAAAAAGAAATATAATGCGTCATCTTAATCCACTTAAATTATTTTTTACCGTGGCTTATACACCAACACAAGATCCACATTATTCAATTGAATGGAATTTATCACTTTTAAAAACTATGTTACTTGAAAGTAAACATGTTAGTAATGATGATAAAGCATTATTTCTTACGAAATTTAGCAATATTGACAATGATTATGCGAATTGGTCACTTGAAAAACATAATGAATTAGAAAGATTTACTGAAAAATATTTTAATATATACAATTCACCAAATTCATTTTTACCATTTATTGATTGTCATGCTTTAACATATGCTATTACAGATGAAATGCTCAATGATTTACCACTGAGTATAACTGATGAAAAACGTTCAAAAATTCGAGCAAAAGCAGTTGAAGGTTTATGTGACCCAGAATGAAAAGAACATTACTATTGTAAATATCATGAATTGTAAAGGAAAACAAATGTTCAGCTTCTTTTCTATAGAATTCTTCACATATTAATAATTTTTTTTTTTGTAAAATACTTCTTTGGAATACAAATNATGAAGAAAAACGTTCAAAAATCCGAGAAAAAGCAGTGAAAGGTTTATGTGCCCCAAAATAAAAAAACAAAAAAAAAAAAAAAAAAAAGAAAAAACTTTCATTTTTTCTTTTTCTCTGTATTATCAAAAATAAAAAAATAAATTAAAATCTATTAAAAAGAAGTATATACAAGTATTCTATATATGTGAACATTGATGACAGTTGATTATACTAAAAGCTTCTTGTTTAAAATATATATACTTGAAAAGAATCAATTTCAATATGAATATATTTTATTTTATTATTCGAAGCAGACAAAATGTAATTAAAAGATTACTATATTCTGATATAATATATTCAAAAAAAAATTTTCATTTACTTTTTTTTTTCTAAAAGAAAATTAAAAAACAATCTTACTTTAATTGTTAATGTTTGAGTATTTCGTACATCATAATGGCCTGGTCCAGGATTATCATCATTGGAAAATACATCACCACGATTTGCAAGTGATAGAAACGGAGCATAGCCTTCTGTTTATATGAAATAAAATTTCTTTAGATGAATCTTCATTAAAAAAAAAAACGCATCTCATTAACCTTCATGAATTTTTTTTCGTCGATGATCATAAGTGCCAGGTCCAACATGATCTGGTGTACAGCCTACTCCAAGGTGTAAGCTACGTGGTGCTCTATCGTACATCTAGAACTGATTCTTTTGTTTTTTAATTTTTATAAACATTGATTAATATAAAATCACAACACGTCTGAGTACATCTTATCTCAGGCTGATTTATTTATTGATATCAACTTCAAATATTATTCATATTGTAAAGGATTTTTCGATTTAATAATCAAATTTAGAAAAAAACAATGTTCATAATTGAATAAAAGTTATTATTTTAGAATATTTTCATTTGTATTCCAAAGAAGTATTTTACAAAAAAAAAAATTATTAATATGTGAAGAATTCTATAGAAAAGAAGCTGAACATTTGTTTTCCTTTACAATTCATGATATTTACAATAGTAATGTTCTTTTCATCCAAAAACGTAGTTAAGCATAAACCGCAAAGAAAAAAAATATATATTATATATACATATTTATATTATTAAGATCTCCTTATCTGCAATCAAAAAGATTTTCCTCATGTTATACATTATAGTTTTATCAATAACTTTAATAAATAGAAGAATCATCATGTGATGAATTATAGATTTCTTATTCTTTAACGATTAAAGAATACTGTATGACCTGTTTTGCTCTGTAATACTACTAGGAATCTTTTTGAAAAGGATACACTTATACAAAGACTTTTGAACACATCATGAAACTAAATCATTATTCTTTACATTTATAAGTTCATATAATATAAATCTGTCTAATAATTTATTCATTGCATAAATTATTTTTTTTTGCGTTTAAAAATTTCCAACTTAAAGTTCATTCTTTTTTTATTTCGGTATTATTGACTTATTTTGTTCGAAATGTACGCATATTATATTAATTGTATATATTTATTGTTGTGATTTTTATTAAAGAATTTATTTAATTATATGGTTCACATTTATAATTTTGTTTATTATTATTATTAATTTCGTTTTCAATAGCAAAAAGATTCATCGGGGTCGATAAGTGTTTTTTTTTTATCAAACTAAGAAATTTAATGCAATAAAGAATATGTTCTTTATTATTCATTAGAAATATTTTCAGAATGAATCCGATTATCTTTATATTCTTTTGTATGAATATATATGATTTATAAGAACAGGACAGGAATAAAACTATATGTCGTCACTGTTTTCTTTTATCTATTCTAAGTTATTAATGCGGAATGAGTTTGCATGACGAAATGCATGCTTCTATTATATAAAAAGAAAATTTAACAAATGGATAATTTAACGCTAAACTTGACTAATGAAAAATCTACTAATGAAATCAGCTATAATAAAATATTCATTAATCCTATAGAAAGAAAAGTTCAAAGTGAAATAGTCATTTTTTTCATAATGCTTTTAATAAATTTATTATAGTTCATAGTGAAATAATTCATAAGAAATTAATAGGAAAGATTGTAATTATATCATATTAATGAAATCATAATGATTATTTTTAATTTATTAGACTTAACTCTGTCATGTGAAGAAAGAGGTAAAATTGACTTTTTCAAATCGAAATTATTAAAGATTCGATTACAATCTGAAAATTACTATGTTTTTATTAACAAGATAATTATACTATTTAATTCACATGGACCATCGAATTAAATGTATTTTATACTAAAAAGAGCTAGTAAATTATTTACATTACTAGTTAAAAGTATCTTCTACTTGAGATCTCATTCTATCAAAGAATCGACCATCGGAAACTTAATGTATAGGTAGTTTACAAGGAATGCAGAACAAATATATGGTATTATTGAAAGATTAATTGCTAAGTAATAGCATGATGAATTCATGTAAAATTTTCAGAAGATATTTATCTATAATTGAAGATTATGTTCTGAAAGTTCCAAAAATAAACATTGTACTATTCAGAAATGACATAGCAAAACTCTACAGCTGCTTTTATTGAATAATTCTGTCTTTTGAATGAATAAAGTACATAGATTGAGCATCATTTTGATACTAAAAAATATCGGTAATTGCTCGTATATTTGGAATTACTAAAGAATATTTTCATCTTGAAATTGTTGATAATGTTAATACAGTAAATCATAGATATAGTGATATAAACTATTTTGTGAATAGGGAATAACTATAATCTTGTAAAACTGATGTTAAAAAGAACTATGAGAATATAAATCATGATTTAATATAGCACACTTATTCGAAATCTTTTATGTAATGTGAATAGAATAATTTTTTTTCTTCTGAAAAAAGTTCTCAATCATCGAGATTAAATTTCCTAATAATATATGAAACTCGGACGATGTTCATTCATATTGATTGAAAATTAATAAATAGGATACTTATGAAAATATTTATTATTTCTTAACAAATATATGAGTAATTATCAATAGTTTAACATCGAATTGATGCTCAATCTATGAGATGTCTTCATTCATAAAATATGACGTCATTCGATAACATTGCCTGTAGAGTTTCGTCATGTTGTTTTTTACTAAGTAATATGATATTCATTTCTACAACTTTTCAGAATAGAATTCTTAATAATGGAAAAACATCTCTTGAAAATTTCACTTGGATTCATCAAAATAACAAGTGTGGGTGACAGAGAAGATTGCATATCTTTGAGAATTTTGCGTAGAGTATATTGATATGTTTCGTTTAAAATGAGCATTCATCATTTTCTTGTAATGCTTAAGATACTGCATACCACAAAAAAAACAGAATTTACTTAGCATGTTACTGGAATAAAATATCATTTTTCTTTATTCAATAATTTTGCATATACTATTCGAATTCAGTATAAAACAGAGTACAGAAACATATGTTTTTGTTTTTAGACTGAATACTAAAGAACAGGTAACGATCCGTGAGTGAATCGATCCAATAGAATTTTCATAATTTCTTTTTGTTGAAATAAAGAAAATAATGATAGAAATAATACCTGATATTTTCTACATAATTTTAGTAGACTTTTTGTTTTTACAAGGTTAGCACCTGATTGCATTGTGAACTTTCTGAGTTTTATATAGGAGATCTTAGGTTACCAAATTTTAAATCTTTTTTCTTGATGTATTCTTTATTATAAATGTAGGGAAAAAAAAGTTCTTGTTCAATACTATTAAAATATTGTGCTAGCATCAGGTATGAACGGCCTTTATACACTGAAACAGAGTTTACTAACTCTAAGTTTTGTGCCAATCCATAGAGTTATTCATTAACTTATAACTAGTCAGGTAAAACATCGCGAACATATTTGGGCTTTAGGTAATTTTGTTTGAATGAGCAAATACAATACTTTTTGGCCGCTGTTCAGCAATTTCGTTTGTAAAAATTATCTTTTAAATCAACATCAATAGAGTATTTTCGGGATCGGCAAAAAAAATAGTGTCAATCTATATGTGTTGCAAAGTTTTTTGATGACTTTATTTTTCGATTAAACCTGGAACCTTGGTCTCTTTCATAGTTGCCTCAAGAAATAAGATGAAAAATCAAACACATACATATCTCTGACACCATTTTTGTGCTGGCTTAGAGTATAATATCAGTTTTGATTCAAAAGATGATTATTACGACTGAACTTAGTAAACACTGGTAAAAAAAAATTGTTTTTCCCTATCCGAACAAAACTTTCTTGAGTCCAAACATGTTCACTACTTTTTCTCCTGACCAGTTTTAAGTTCATGAAAAAATCTATCGATTGGTATTAAACTCAGAATAAACAAACTCGACTGTAATGCATAAAGCAATTTATACCAGATGCTAACAACATATTTTAACAGTATACAACAGTAACTTTTTTCTACATTTTCTTTATAAAAGGTTGTTATATAGGCTTTTGAAGTAGTTTTTACCGTCTATCTATTGGTATACAACTCATTTAGATTGGTATCGAAAATGCCACTGAATATTAAGCTTGTAAACATCTAGTAAAATCATTTAGAAAATATTAAGTAAAGTTACTATCATTATCTTCGTCATGCCTACACGAAGAAATCATTAAAATTAAATTGGGCCGATTTACCTACAAACCATCACTGGTCCTTTTCTGATAGATGTCGTCATTTTAAAAACCACTTGCTAAAGTATATATAGTTGTACGATTTTTAATGCCTTTCTTATTAAACGAAAGATTACCGTCTCAACATTAGATTAGAGAAGCAATTCAATCTTTATAATGAAGAGCTTTCAGTAAAGTTTTAAATTCTGCATCTATTAATATAAATGTTTTTGTTTTTGTTAAGCAGAAATATCTACGCGTATTAAAACCAACGCATCACTTAGGTACACCGCAAAATTTTATATCTCTTGCCACCGCACTCGTTATTACCAAGTATTGAATATTTCGATAATATGATATCCTTGTTCTGTATATCAATATATACAATAAAAAATGTTCATAGCTCATCGATAAACTTTAATTAATGTTGAACTGAAAATGAGTATTAAGTAGAACGTACAAATAATTGACTTAAAATCTCTTATTCTTTTCGAGTTATCAATTGTCCAATGAATAGAAACTGTGATTCGAATCGGACAAAAATCATTCGATATGATGTGTGTGTTATACCGATGATAGTACGTCCATAAAAATGTTCTCAAAGCCAAACCTTTTACTAATTGGCATTGATTTGTAAAACTTTGTAAACTAATTTACTGACTTTAGATATGAAAATTTAGTGTATCGATTAGAGCCATGCTTGAAGTCAACTAAATTTTTTTCTGAAAATTCAACTTAAACAAATGAACTTTTTTTCAATAATATGTTTTATTCTCTGATATTTATTATACAAACTAATGTACTTTTGACGGGGCTTCAACGACATCTTGTCAAGGTCTATGAACATGAAAAAAGTTGGAGTGGAAAAAGAAATCGGAATTGAAGTTGACTTCAACATTGTTTCGTGTCCGGATGCTTTTATAAGACATTGTTGAAACCTCCAAAATACATTAAATATCAGAATAAAAAATTTAGTTGGCTCCGTGTAGAGCTCTACTATCGATCAAGATATAACTCATGGAATCATATATATTTATCTAACAAGAATTTTCTATTGACGATTTTTATATATAATCAGGATTATTATCACTTTACTATCGTATACTATATCATATGATAACTGTTTAGAAGTAAAATAGAGAAGATAAGTGTTAGTTTTTTAAAAGAAAAAGTTAGACGTTATGAAATATAGTACAGATGAAAATATCTTAACATTACCTTTTTTCTAATTACATTCTGTAATAAACATAAATATTAAAAAAATATTCTTACATATCAATAAAACTTACATTGATCTATATTATTAAACTAAAAACAAAAAAAAAAACTATTCTACCATTTTTAAATAAAATGTCATGACAACAATTTAAACTTATTACAAATGCGTAAAATTGACATGTCAATTTTGATTGATCAAATATTTAACCAATAGAAAAAAAAGTCTATTATCTCTTCTTCTACAAAATATCGAGGCATTCAAATTCCAGTTAGACATGCTTAAATATGCATGGAAAATAAGAAAAATATAACATACATATAGAAAAAAAAACTGCTTATTTGTTTTATTAAAAGTAACCATGGCAGACGAGCCATTATTTTCATTAGAAATGAGCGAACATCGATATCCATCAATTGATAATGATGATGATGATAATCGTTTTATTGATAATGATACTGGTGCTGATCCATCACAAATAAAGTAAAAAAAAAAATCAAAAAATATATTTTTTATTATTATTAAACGTTTGTTTTGTTTCGCTTCTAGTGAAATTGAAACAGTACAAATAACTGAACGAACAGTTAATCCACGTGGAGAAAAAATTTCACCACATGATTTTCAATTATTAAAAGTACTGGGCAAAGGTGGATATGGAAAAGTTTTTCAAGTAAGGAAACTATTTGGTAGTCATCAAGGTGAAATATTTGCTATGAAAGTTTTAAAAAAAGCTACGTATGTTAATTAAATTTTTATTATATATTTTCATATTATTTTTGTTTTTCTATGTAGAATTGTTCGAAATGCAAAAGATACTGCACATACAAAAGCTGAAAGAAATATTCTTGAATGTGTTAAAGTAATTTTGCTTAAAAAATTTTCTCTCATTCTTTTGTTTTTATTATTTTGTTTTTAACGATAAAATTATTTTTAGTGTCCATTTATTGTTGATCTTATGTATGCATTTCAAACAGGTGGAAAATTATATTTGATACTAGAATATTTATCAGGCGGAGAATTATTTATGCAATTAGAACGTGAAGGAATCTTTTCGGATGATATGGCTTGGTAAGAATTTATAATTTAGAGATTAGAACAAAAATGTCATTTTGTAAATAAAAATTTTTTTGTTTTGTTTTTGCAAAAATGTCAAGGTGAATTTATGATTGACAAGAAGTATGATAAATGTTGCCTATTATTTATTGAGAGAATCGAAATAAAACAAAAAACATCGTGAAAGCTATAAAATGAATGTTAGGTAGATCAAGTAAAGATTATAATTTACAATAGAGATGAAAACTCATATTTGTATACCAAAACAAATGAGAATAAAGGCCATTGATTTAAGGTCGGTTTTTTAATGAAACACATGCTTTTTTGTCTATGGCGATGTTTAATATCGAAGAAGGAGCAGAAATCAAAATATCTATGATCCGCCTACAGAAGTATTTTTACAAGTAATATCTCATTTTCATCACGGAATGACGTAATGCATGGGTTTCATAGATAATGTTTAATTATAAAGAGTTGCTATATGAAATATGCTTTATGTTTTATAATCACGTAGAGTATTATGATAATCTTTGAATTAGAGTTCAACATTCTGAAAACGTTTTCTTACATTTGATTTATGTAAGTAAAATATTAGACTGGGAAATTTCATATAATAAACTGTCTTATTTTTATGTCATTAAATTAAAAATATGATTTTCAAAAATAAAACAATTATTTTTTATTGTTTTCTAGTTTTTATTTATCTGAAATATTGCTCGGAATTGAACATTTACATAAAGAAGGAATTATTTACAGGTTTGTTCTTATTTATACTTTGCATTAATCAATAAATATTTGATTTTTAGAGGTGAAGAGTTTTTAAATATATATAAATATGTATATCTGAACTTTAATTGTATTTAAGATCTTAAACCAGAAAATATTCTACTTGATGCTCAAGGTATTTCTTATAGAATGTTTTTCCAAAATCTGTTTTGTTATTAATTTAAATTCAGGTCATGTAAAATTAACTGATTTCGGTTTATGTAAAGAATCCATCTATCATGGTGGACAAACAAATACATTTTGTGGTACAATTGAATATATGGCACCAGAAATATTAACTCGATGTGGTCATGGCAAAGCTGTTGATTGGTTTGTATATGATTAAAATTGAGAAGAAAATTCTTTTTTTGTTCTATTAATTAGGTGGTCATTTGGTGCATTGATGTACGATATGCTAACGGGTGCTGTATGTCGCTGATTTTTTTCTCTTCAATAGTACCATTCAATATATTGTTACATTTGATTCAGCCACCATTCACAGCCGAGGATCGTCGACGAACAATGGACAAAATAATAAAAGCAAAATTAATTTTGCCTGCATATTTGTCTATTGATGCAAGAGAACTAATTCGTAATGTAAGTAATATAATTACATGTTAGATATGCACGTAGACTAATAAATTAGATTTTGCAATTTTCGTTGTTTCGATAAAATAAATACTTCATTGAAAAAAAAAACAGAACAAAGGATTCATAAAGCTCGCCGATGTTTGATTTTTTAGAAAAATATTTGTTCTATTGACATACATATTGAGTAAAATTGTATCGTACTACATTTAAAATGAGAATATCTTCAAGAAAAAAAAAAGATTCGAGAAACTTTCGGCATATATATATATATTGCTCGTTAACTCGAAAAATAAAATGAAATTCTTATTTGAAAAATTGAAATAAGAATTAAAATATAAAATGAGCAAAAATTATCTTAAGTTCGATCTGAGACGATAGAGTTTCAATAATATTTTAATCGTGCGATCATCGAACAACATAAGAAAATTAATTTTATTGAAAAGAAAAACAAAACAAAAATCATTTTATATTTTAGTTACTTCGTCGACAAGTCAGTCATCGACTTGGTAGTGGACCCGAAGATGCTGAAGCAATAAAAGTAATATAATATTCTTTCAATTGTAATTGAATATATGTTTATAGAGCCATGCATTTTTTGGTCATTTGAATTGGAATGATGTTTATGCCAAACGTTCTGAACCTCCATATAAACCAATTCTTAAAAGTGACGATGATGTTAGTCAATTTGATACGAAATTTACTGTACAAACACCTGTTGATTCACCGGATGATAGTATGTTAAGTGAAAGTGCTAATCAAGTTTTTCTTGTATGTTTAAGATTACTTAAAAATAATGAACTTTGAAAATAAAAATTTTATTTAATCTTAGGGTTTTACTTATGTTGCTCCGTCAATAATTGAAGATATGAACCGGTTAGATTTGAGTAATTATGGACATCGATCACCAAGAAAAATGATTCCATCTGAATTATTATCTCATACGTATGTTTAGAAATTATTTGAAAAATTATATTTTTAAATTTAAATATTTAGATTGAATCTAAAAATTTCTGAATTAAATTGTGTTAATGATCAGTCAAGTACTACGATAATTGAAACAAAAGATAATAATGATAATTTATCATCAAGAACAGTCAGATCATCTACACTCAATAGATATCAATCAAATAAATCAAAAAGTCCAGGTATAAAAAAAAACATCCTAGCCGAGAATTGATTTAAAAAAACATCTAGTCTTTTATCAATAGGAAATATACATGTACTTAAAAAGCTTTTTCGTCGTCGTCGTAGTACCAGTCGCTAAACGAAAAAATATATGTGGGTCATTGATACGCTTTTATTTAAACGCTACTTTTTTGTTTCTATGATACAAAAGGCTTTATATTGACGAATGAAATAAGATTGCATTAAGGGTACATCCGATCAGCCTGAAAATTTTTCCTTCGAAAACATGTCTGCTTATTTTATGTGATCTATCTGTAGTAAAAATATTAGCTTGATTGAGAAGTAGTCAAAAAAGATGAGGGACTCTTAAGCAATAGGCAACATCTGATTCATAGACAAAATGAATTGATGAAAGAAGTTCCTCAACTAATTAATCACGTTTGCGTTGAGACTACGTGCATGATGATGACCTTAATGAGCTATGAATATCTTGGAAAGAGTTCAAGTATTAAGGTTATTGTTGCTGAGATAGTGCATTTTTTCCATTCATTGTCGTGACCATCCACACCCTCTTTTGTTTTGCTTTCATTCTACAGTAAGAAAACCAAATCTACCGGTTTCTATGAGCAATGTAACAAACACGCTAGCATCATAGTGGTATATTAGAATAGAAGTAACGGTAAGATCTGAAACATTCACAAAAAACTTATTTTCATGAAGACTTGTCTCTGTGCAAACACTGTCTGAACTCTTATCGAATGCAGAAAACGGTTTCGGGAAGACTGCAAAAAGTCCTAAAAGGGCACGTCTCTATGAGTATTTAGAGCCAAGTTATGACCGTTTTACTGAATTTTGAGTCCAACTATCGAAAAATCAAATAACAAAATTTCAATCCGAAATTGTGCACATAGATAGATTTGATAAATCTAGGAATATTTTGAAAGTTTCAACCCGAAATGAATGCTCTTTTGTTAAGATATCAAATTTCCAAAAGAAAAAAAATATTCGTTTTTGAATATTTTGTCAAAGCAACATTGTTTTCGATTGAAACTTTGAAGATATTTTACAAAGTATA